GGGGTTTTCCTTTACCCAAAATTTTTTTCCCCAACCCCATTTTTAAAGAATTAAAATTTGCTAAATTTTAAAAACCCTTTCCCCTTTTTTTGCATTATTATAAAAAAATGGCTAAACACGTAATAGAATAAATAAAATGAATATTCATGAAACATAAAATTTCTCCACTCCCAGAAAACTGGGGCAAAAATTGCTTTTTAAAAATTTCATTTTCCAGTGATACTCAATCAGTTTTTCAAGTTTACCCGCCGGTAGGCCCTATACCCCTTGGAAAAAGGGCCCTTTTGGGTTGGCCCGGGGAATCCCCCCGATCCCGGGACAGCCCCGGACGGGTCCAGGGGAGACCCCAAAAACTAGAACAAAGGGGGGATTGAAAAAAGCGCGAAGGGAAAATGATTTCATAATTTTAAAATTTATCAATAATGTTTTTTTTTAATATAAAAACAGTAATGCATTATGATTTTTTGAAAAAAACCCTTAAGGGAAAAACCCGGATGAAAGGAAAAAGGGAAGGGTAAACAAAAAAGTGCAATCATCCCCAAAATTTTCGTGGTTTTTTTGGGAAACAAAAAGGGCTTTATCGGGGCTCTACCGGGAAACAAACCCTTTGCTCCATCGTCATCCTTTCCCGGGGGTCTGACCCGCATTTTCCGAGGGGTCATTCTCCGGGGGTTTTGCAGCCTTTAAAGGGCCTTTTTGGGAGAGTTAGGGTTTCTACCCCGGATAATACCCGGTTTTTTTGGGCGGGCTTTGGGGGGTTTTGAAACCCCGGGGGGTTTTCCCGGGAGGGCAAATTAAGCTATACCCCCCCCCGGGGGTTTTTCACGGGACCACCCCGGTGATAAATTTAAATTTTTTTTTATTTCCCGGGGGGATGCCCAGTGTTTTTCCCAAACCTTTTGGGACGTTTTTTGGCAGAGTTTTTTGGGGTGTATTCCCCGGGGGTTCCCCGATCATCTTTGGGCGGTTTCCGGGGGGTTTTCCGGGATGTAAGGGACCTTTTAGCTTTAAATTATGGGACTGACTTCAGTCAGGGCATCGGGCAGTTACCCAAAAGCGGGGTTTCCCTTTTACCCAAAAATTTTCATTTTTCTTAACGGGTCTTTTGCCTTATTTTTTTACTGTTAAAACCCGAAGATTTTAAGTAAAAGTATATAAAAAGTTTTGATTTTAAAAAATTTTTAAACCCCCGACCTTACATCCCTTTTTGGGGGTTAAACCCCTAATTGTCAAATTAAATTTTTTATAACCTCTTTTAATTGTTTTTAAAAGGTTTACTATTCCCCAAACCCCTTTTTTTTTATTTGTAAAAAGAAAGGTTTTAATAATGGCTATACACGTAATAGAATAAAAAGAAGTTAAAATAAAGTAAAATACATTTATTTTAAATTTAGAATTAAAATTGTCTAATCCCGATTCCTGGGTTTTTCAGAATTAGGGATTTTTTAAAAATGCCTTTTTTAGGGAACATTCGTTTTCAGTCTAAAACCCCGGGGAGGTATACCCCCTTTATATGTCGTAAAAAAGGGGGATAAAAAAAATAACCCCATATATTTGGGTTTCGTCATTGATATATAATATACTCTATCAGATTATGGGCGAACTGTTTTTCATGTTTAATTAATTACAGGTAACAATGCGTTAGGGGTGGTAATTGGATTACTACAATTACTTATTTTTGGTTGATACATTCGGAAGCATGTACATCTTCAAGTTTAGATGGCACACTTTATTTAGGTACTTATGGCAGGTGACCACCATACACGGGTTGTCGTCTTTATTTTTTACCAAAGACCAACTATTTTTGGTGTAATTGATTGAAACCCTTTAACAAAATTAGGTTGCCTTCACCTCAAATTGACGACATTTATGTAAATTCACTTTAATGAATATATATAATCATAACATAATGTGTTTTTTGCAAGGTGCATATAAATATACAAAGCAACTAAAGTATAAAACATTTCACAATTATTAAAGGCGTTATAATTATACAGTAGAGACACGCACATATAGTTTTCGGTTGGTATGCTATAAGTTGCTTTGAAAAATAACTTTCATTCAACGTAGAATCTAATATTGCGATATAATTAGTTTTCTTTTATTAAAATAAAAAGACTGATGGAGAAATAAAAGTAACATTTCGCATATTTACGGTCCCTTTCCATTCACTATAGCAGCGTTCACTCAGACGCTCTTTAACATTCGCGCTAAAAAAACGCTTATAATAGTAACTCCGCCTTACTCCAGGAAGGGATGTCCGATAAGCCTCCACCCCCTAATATTAAACCCAGGTTTTCATTTACAGTCCCGGATTATAACACAGTAATGCACTTGTTCAAATACATTGATAACATAGACAAGTATGGTGTTCCTATAAAGTTCATTATCACTTATAAATCGTATGTAGCCATATTATATAAATATAATCTTTTTTTTTTTTTTTTTTTTTTCAATTTTTTTACACAATACATTTAAGCATATACACAGTACAATATATGAGATAAACGTATAAGGAGGAATAAGAGATTACTTTTTAGAATCAACAAAGTTTATAAATATAATAAAGGTAATAATTCAATAGTATTTTAACAGAGTTGACAAATTTTTAATACCAAACTATATAAAAATATAATCTATTTAACCCATTACTTCATATACACGCCTTTTAACGCCTTTATCACCCCCCCCCCTTTTGTTGTCTCAAATGATGAAAAAATGCCTTATTTAGGGCCCCAAACACTTGTTTTTGTTTGAGAAATGTGGTTAAAAAAAGTGCCCTCTTTTTCGGCGCGGCCCCCCAACCAAAAGATACATCAGGGGGTTGCCAGAAGGGGGATGTGCCCCCTTCTGTTTGGGGGGTTTGAAGGGGGGCGGAGTCCCCCTCATCGCCAAGAAAATTTTGGACTTGTGAGAGGCTGTAAATGACCCCAGATTGATCATAAGGTAACGTGTAACCAACGCTGAAAAGCATTTGACTCTATCTCAATCCATTGAAAAGTTACAGCACTTTGAAATCAATTTTGATGGAAAAAATCAACGCAAAATAGTGATTTTTGGCAATTTTGAGATGTCCCCTCGTTGCTATGGTAACAGAAAAAATTTAAGCCTGAGCATGTTGTTGCAAGGGCAATGGTCCAGTCAACATTTGTGCCAAGTTTGATTAGTGTTGAAGCAGTTTTTATAGTATTATAGCAATTTGAACTTGTAACGGGAGACTTTTCAATGAAAACAGCCATTTTTCACAAAATGCTCATGAAGTAATGGGTTAAGTTTGAATTTGAAGTCGTGGATAAATGCAAGCTTTTCGATAGTCTTGTTAAATCTATTCTTAATAACCGCATGGTTTAGAACTTTTTCTTTGTACTTACTAACCCATTAGACTCAGTACACCTTCAACGAGCATTTGAAAACTGTACTGTATTGATATATAGCAGTACAGTTTTTTTCATTGATCCATATAGGAAAAAAACTCGACTGCTATATAGCAGTTGAGTTTTTTTCGCACCTTGTATATATCAGTGTAATTATTTTCACTGAGGCTCCAATGAGGAAGCGGTAACGAACATTCCCAGTAGGAAAAAAAATAAGAAGAAAGAAAGAAAATTGATATGAAATGAATTTATTCTCATATAATTATGCAACTGCTGAAATCAAAAGGTACCTCCGCTGAATTGATTAATTAATTATTATCTCCACAAACTATATCAGTTTACAATCCGTCTCTAACATTGAGCTGTACGGTAGCTAACGACATCAGTAGCTGGTATTGGTTCATTTTCTCTGGGAGTGAAATACACGTGTTTTTTTTCTGATTTCTATTACAAAAAAAAATGAAAATGCGATAAAACAGTTCAAGTATATGCAACTCGTTAGTTTAATACGGGGGTATAACACTGGCTGGGCGACATCTTGGGGTGTTTCTGCAAAAAAAATGTCTAAGTGACTGAGTCTGTATATTCTTATCAACTTGCTTAGAAATAATTTCCTAATGGTGACAACTAACACAGTGAATTAACCACTTTTTGGTAAGATGGTTGTCCCAATTTATCATATGTCAATAACCTTGGTGCCACTTGCTGCCTTACTGATCTCCACATGACTGGTGTCGGATTTGTTTTCTCACTGCACTTCTCTGTTGATTTAGAAAGAGTTTTGTGTGACTTTTCATTTACTTTACATTCTGGTATCTTACTTTCAAGATCAGTGAGTCGTCTTCCTCTTCTTGAAAAATTGATTCTGTCATCTCTGTCGCAAAATTCAACTTCTCGATCTTCATTTGTGAATTTCTTTCTTGCATGAAGAAGTCTTACTAAAGTTGTCAGTTCTATAGGATCAAGGCCAACATTTTTTCTCTTCAGCTGCACCACTTGAAAGAAAACATGCCATTATTATAATCCCGGACGAGCCCCCACATGTTAGCCGGGTCAAATTGCAGATATATATGACACGGGAGTCTAAAAAGAAAATAATATGTTGTTAATGCATTGCCTTTATTCTTTCTCATTAAAAACATGGCGGAGACTGCGCCAAATTACCACAAAGAATAACTAACGCAAAGAACGCTCAACATTTTTATAGGGGTGCCTTCATCACCCACACATTTACTTATTGTGACGACAAAGACAGGGATAGCGACAGAAATATCATATTCATTGTTTATTTTTTCTTGGGTTTCATATTTGCCTATGATACAAAAGAGAAAGAACTCTTCCTATTACTTTGACCATCATGCATACACAACGATATGTCCTGCTCCGCGTGCACTTTATATTATTCGAACAAAATGTACAAAATGTAATAAAGGGAATTGAAAATAAGAAAAAAAACATGCATGATTTACTCAATTGTTTATCTATTTAATATTTATCAATTCAAACACATAATTCATTTCAATTTACAATTCACACTACGACAACTTCTTACCACATGTCCCCTCGCCCCTCCCCTGCCCCTCTGTCCTACTCTTTTTAAATAAGGGAAGCTACTCCAACGCTTAAAAATGTAATTGGCTAAATTAGTGCCTCCCTTGTGTCGAAAGAATCAAGGTCATAGTTGATTTACATGTGCATTATTTATATATTTTTAATTTATTGAAGGAAGATAAAGTTTTAACTGTGGTAAATCAAGGTAAGTAAATTTTAAGCTAAACACATTGTAAATTGTCTACTAAAGCTTCTGGTTAAAGCGTTTAAAATTTCTATTTTCAATTTTGATACATGGGCGTAGCACGATGTACAGTGCTACGAGTGTTTTAGTTCTTATTTAGATCTATGTAACTGACGTGATCACTGGTCAGGTCTAGGTATAGGGTGTAAATATAATATAAATTGATAAGACTGACCTTTTATCATTTAGGGCCGACTGCATAATTCTTAATTGGATTTAAACCCGCGAATTTAATCTCGTGTTTATCCCTTTATAAAAAAATAGTCTATCTTGGCCCAGATAAGTCTTAAACTGGAATGAATTGCAAGTGTAATTTAGTTTAACATTATCATTGTTATATTAAACGAACCTAGGGACCACCTTAAGGTGAAGTTTTAAAAAGTATAAACTTAATCTTAATCGCCGCAAAAACAAAACATCTCGTACATGACCTTGTTTGAAATGAAAATAAACTTGGCTCATTAAAGTCGTGATCTTCAGCACTTCACTGTTAAAGAACCAGGGGAGTCGGGTTAAAGTGGTTTAAGCCCCCCCCCCCCGCCCTGGATTGTTCATTTTTTTCTGTCAAACATAAAGAGTAAATTATCAGTAAAAATAGCTTTAAGATAAATGTAGGACTCGTTGGATCCTGGACCCCTGCTCAGCTTCCTGTCAGACAAAGCACTGCAGTTTGCCGACATATTTATGTTACTGTTAGTGTTTATTAAGTGAAATTTAAACAGTTATGAATCCAGAGGGAGCGACCGTTGGTTCTCAAATGTGTTTGAGCATATACTCAGTGGTCATGCAGGCGCTTTCAGTAGATTACTCTTGGTAAATGTAGACAATGCAGAGAAGCGTATGCAAGCTACTGGATAAATGAATAAGTCTAAGGAAAGAGTCCCTAAGTAGATCTTAGTGATGATTACTATAACGATATATGTATTTAGCTTGTGACGTTAATTTTTGAACCCTTTTTATTTACATAAAAATAGGACTACAGAAGCATATATGATGTAATAATTTGAACCAATAAGCATTTCAAACTCATCTTTATATCATACATAATCAAGGTTTCCCTTCTAAAAGCCTTTTTTTCTTCCACTTTTGGAAAAATACCATGTTATTTTTCCCAAATTTAAGAGACGGGCCTCTTCCTCTGAGCCTCGTTACCGCCGTAAACAGTTACCCTCGAGTTAGATTTTTCCGTTTGTACCGGCAGCCGGTGTAAGATCCTTATAATCTCTTTCCACTAAAATTTTTTTGGTATTCCTAAAAAGGGCAATATTACTCACTCTTTTCTTTAAAAGGGAAATATAAAGTATTCTTTATATTGTCACAGAGTATAAAAAAATAGGGCCCCCTCTAAGGTCCACTTTTTCCTTTTGTTCAAAAAAAAGCACACTAATTTTTTAGTAAAAAAATAAAGTTTAACACACTGAATCTAAACATTCTGTTTCTTGTAATAAACATGTGTTTGATGACAAAACAAATTTAAATTTAATCCACTATGTTTCAGGATCGTTGCTGAAAGTTCTTACGTCAGTCATGGATGAAAAAAATACTGAACTGCACGGGGCTGTTGCAATGGTAATTTTTTGTTACCAATCACGTACATGTAACTTTTGTGAAATAATTCAGTAACGAAGATATATTGTTATTTAAGGGCACACTATGTCTTAGAAACGAATGAATTCTTCAAATAAACACGTTTTTCTGATGTCAAAGTAAGAAAAAGGTACTCCATTGAAAAGTGCGTCATATATGTCAAGTTAAATCCACCAAAATGACATCAATGCTATCGGCCCGCCATACTGCGTTGCAATAGAATCCACCTCCATCTGCGTTGTAATCAATTTATAAAGAAAGGCAATACTAATTTTCAAAAGTTTTAAAATTTGAATGTTTTGTGCAAATATTACACATACAATGTGATGCCGGTGTATTAAGGGGTCGTTTTGCTCATAGGAACTCTTGAACAGGACCGCATATTGCGGCGCATAAATCCGAATCCGTACCGGCTTTACATATTGTTTGTCCGACCTTTGAATATCTTTTCATATTATGCGAGCGGGTGGTCTTTAATTATCTAATCTCAATTTAATATAATCTGATAATTTCAAAATCAGTCAAATTTACGGTATATTGAAAAAAGAAAAGGAGTGACATCCGCCAGTTCGGCGTAAGTTATCCCCCTTGATATGTTTGATTTTTGTTTTAAGTTTTCTAGTAATGAATACCAGATGAGTGCCTAAAATATTTATCTATGGCACATGTTTTAATATTCCTTTTTCAGTTAGGCAAAATCAGTTGATCCATATTATTAAAGTGTCTGTTTTCTCCATGTTAACAAATCAAAACACGAATACGCCCGTTATAATGCCGCCTATATATGTCAACACGTGTAAACAATAAACCGTTAACGCTATATCCGGACAATACCTGATAGTTGACAAAAATAACGGGAACAAAATTCTGAAAAAATAGTAATCAATTGTAGCCAAAGGGGAAAACTCATGCCGAAAACGTTGCGGCGAATGGCGGATGTCACTCCTTGTCTTTTTGGCTTGCAGTTTTGAGTCCATACACTCGGATAATACTAAAAGATATTTAGATGTAGCAGAAACGTTATTAAAACCGTTACACGATCGAAAATTTGCGCCGCAATCTGCGGTCCCGTTCTCGAGTTCCTATGGTTTTGCTTACATTTAAACGTGTTTTAACCAAAATAAGGCAAAAGTGGCGTCCCCTCGTCAAACTGTACAGAAGTGTTTGCATAAGTGGCTATAAATTACCACGTGTGCGTTTTATAAGTTGGAAGGGTACATATATATGGGCTTCAGTCTCACTAGGTGTTTCCAGTAAAACATAAAATAAAATTCAGTCATAAACTTACCGACAACAGCAAACGAGCATATTTTATCCACCGCTTTCTCCACCGTCGCTGCTATGGATCTACCGCTTCTGCAAAAGCTATGACCAGTGTGATAGTGACACATGTCAGAAATTAATCTTATAAATTATTGTAAAACACAAAAATTTCATTTCATACTGATAATATTTTCATCCGTTATTATTTCGAATATTTTCTATTGATTTGTTTTGTATTCTAAACGTATGCAATAATATATTTTACAGTATGGACCATGCACTGTGAGAGATTTAAAAGTGGGAGAAACGAAATATTGGTGTAGATGCGGCCTCAGTAAGAATCAACCTTGGTGTGATGGTAAATAATATTTACTGTGTACTGCCATATTCTTTCCCCTTCATCTGCGCATTTATTATGACAATGTTAATGAAACATTAATGTACCCGTTGTCCAAGTTACGGGTGTCTTGCCGGAACACGTATGAGAAGTTGATGTGTACATATGTATTTACTTTTTTGTTTTCTTGACATCTATTAACCTATTTGTCCAAGCAGAGTACAAATACTGTCCGAACGGAATTGTACGTTACGTAGATAAAATAAGTATAAATAGTAGAATAATAATATGAAATTAGGCAAAGCCTATGAACGGGGAAGTCGCTAAAAAGGCGGCGGCCAAGTAGAACTGACACTGAAAATTTCATTGATAGGTATAGCGTTCTATATATTTTTTAATTGTTTTTTATTTCATTTTCTTTTAAATAAACACGTGTAGTCAAGCCAAAGCCTTGTGGGCCCTGTCTATGACTTCCCCGTATAAATGAATGTACAGATTCAGATGTACATGTATGTTTTAACTTACTAAATTAACATCAAATATATATCAGTGCATTACAATTGTGAACCCAGGCTTTTGTGATAGACTGTCACAGCTTTAGTTTAAGAATTTCAGATCATCATTAACAATTTATATTTAGTCATATTCTCTAGTAAGATATTAAATAAAAACTACTTGTTTATTTGGTTACCAAATCGAATATTGAAAATAGTTGTCTACAACGCAGTTATTTATATCTACAGGATCTCATAAGGACACTGGTATAAAACCCTTAAAATGGACAGTTGACAAAAGTCAAACACTGTTCTTTATTTGTGCATGTAAACAAACTAAAAGTCCGCCATATTGTGACGGTAATCATGTGAATGCGCCAGCGGAAGTGGAAAACCGGAAGAAGAATTGCTCACGTGTCGACAATCATGTGGAACAGTGTAAACTATGTACGAACTGCGGATGGGTGCCAGATTTTTAACGTTTTGTATAGACTATGAGTTTTGTGATGTAGACCTATGAGCCCTGATTATATGTCGATCTTGTGTTATTTTGTTCGTATATATTGTGTGAAATAAATTGTATAATTATTGCGGTAACCAAGTCAAATATTCTATGTTATCATATCTGAATCAATAGTTTAAATTTTTTACTTAAATATTCAGAGAGTGTTTTTGTCCGATTCTGGTATGTTTTTATCAATTTTTATCACATAAACCGCGGCGCAGGAGTTTAATAAAGCCATTTAATAAAAACGATATTACACTAGTGTAATAACACTTTGACGTGACGTCATTTGCGCTATATATAGAAACATAGCGTTAAAGCGCGCTAGTGTTGGCGTTACACTATAGGCGCGTCATTGAAAAATTACTCATTTTAACAGTTTACTGTTCTTATTTAATATATGTGATAAATAGAATATTATATTCGTGTAGATTCAATACTAAATTTATTGAACTCGTTGAATAAAACAATATTATGCTCGCCAGAAGCTCGCATAATATGATTTTATTCAACTCGTTCAATAAATTTAGTATTAAACTACACTCATTCAATATCCTCTATATTACATGCTTTTCGGTGGTTTATAGAAATATATCAGTAAAATAAAAACTTATAATTTCACTGTTTTAAACAGTGAAATTATCAATTTGATAATTTCAGTTTTGAATATTTGAGCCCGTTACGTTGTTTCAGTGAAATACAAGCGTTCACAGTACTGGAAACCAACTTAATGACGTGACGTCGTAAATGACGTCACGTTGTATTATTATTTGGCGCCCTTTTCATTTAGTACTAGGTTAAAATGTCTTTTTAAACGTTTCTTTGCATATAATAAAAAATAAAATTTGTTTAGTTTAATGTAAGATCGAAATATATTTCACCTCGTGAACACCAAAAATTCATATTTCACTCGTGGCTGCGCCACTCGTGAAATATACCTTTTGGTGCTCACGTCGGTGGTTCTACTCAGGTGCCCGTTCGTGCCTGAAATAATGCACGGAGGGGCACCTGAGGTCTTCCTCCACCAGTAAAGCTGGAACGTCGCCAAATGACCTATACTGTGTCGGTGTGACGAAAAACCCAAAACAAACAAACAAAATATGTCATATAAAAATTGCATTGTCACTGACCTTGCTGAAGCTACAGTCTCACTTACATCCCGGCAGAGCCCCGGTAGACGTCCGGGATGATCCGGGAACGGCCGCGGTACAACCGGGAACAACCGGAGTACATCCGTAACTCTGCCGGCAACGTCCGGGATGATCCGGGAAATCCGGCATTCGACTCCGGATGGAATAAAATATTTAATATCACCGGGGTGATCCGGGAAGGTATAGCTTTGCCGGCTTCATCCTTAGCTCTGCCGGGAATGACCGGGGTTATACCGGGGAAGCACCGTAGCTCTGCCGGCACAAACTGGGGATGATCCGGAGTATGATATAGCCGGTAGAGCTACGGTTGAGCCCCGGTATATGCCGGCAGAGCCCCGGTAACTACAGGCAGAGCCCCGGAGGATAAAGGTAGAGCTACGGTTGATCCCGGTAGAGCCCCGACAAAGCCCGGATCATTTAAAAAGAATAACGAAAATTTGCGATGATTGCACTTGTTTGTATTAAAACCCTTCCCATTTCCCTTCTATCCAGTATGGCATAAGGATTTTTCAGAAAATCAGCATGAATTACTATTCTGGAACAATAGGTATTATATTAAATAAAAATTATGTATCGATGTTATCATTTTCGGGCGTTTTCAATCGACCGGGTCTCTGCCTGGATCGACCGGGGCTCTGCCTGGGTCAACCGGGGCTCCTCCGGCGTCATCCGGGAACGACCGGGGATGAACTGTAGCTTTACCTGGGCTCTGCCTGGATGATCCGGAGTGCATCCTGGGTGGTTAGCTGGGAACTACCGTAGTGCTGCCGGGGTAAATGTGACCGCAACAATAATTTCACCCTGGATCGTCCAGGATCATCCCGGTAACTTACCGGGATGGTCCTGGGCTCTGCCGGGAGTAAGTGAGACCGCAGCTTGCACACTTGGTTTTATCATGCAGCAATTTGTATAACTACATGCAATAACAAACGCGCTCGCATGCTGGCTTATCGCCAGTTTCACACAGGCGCTATCCATTCACTAAACCCGAAATGAAGCGCGGGGTAGAGAAGATGACGTGTAAAACGTCAACGGCTACGCAAATGATCCGCAAATAAAAATTATGCAAGTTTGTAGTTATTATTGCAGAGTAACAGTTTTA